TTCTTCCAGCTGGTGCGTGGAAATCCTTTTCCTCTTTAAAGAAGCTATGTTAACGTTTTAACATCAGTTGACTGTTAAAGAAATAAGATAATCATATCCTGGTTTTGAGAATTATGCTGATCTTGTTGCAAGAATTTGTCACAACTAGTGATTATTTTTGTTCATATTTTACTTAATGACTTCAATTAGTAATCAGTTAACTATCCACTAATTGTTTATTTCATTATTTACTTATTGTGTAGAAAGCACCTCATGCACTGTCCCTATCCTGACAAGTGTAGCTGGTCCTCCACTCATCTAACAGCCACCTACAACACAACAAATGGGTTAGAAGTGACGTTTGAGTGTGGAAGTCAGTCGCTTTCTGAATGACATGTATCACGTGCAGAAATGAAACCAAATCTTGTCCTTTTCAGGTCATGTGGAGGAGACTCCGGACTCCATGGTGTTTTACACCTACCTGCCCAATGAGCCCCTCAGTAAGGACCGGGTGGAGGCTTTCAGCGATGGAGTTTATGCCATCGTAGCAGCTCTTCTCATCCTAGACTTCACTTGCTTTCCTAGAATGGGTGGATACAGGACAGGTACCTATTTTCTATGGTGCATTGAAAAGAGGTTACAACACCTGTTACAGCAAAAACACAAAGTTGTGCCTCAGGAGGCCCCATGACCACATTTAACGCAGCCAGTGTGGCTGGACAATGAGAACTGTATGCATCACATGCACATATTGGACTTACTGTATTTATGCACCAGTTATACCTGCACTTTGTCTAGTACCTGAAACCTTTAGTGACATTTTCAAAGCTTCTTAGAGTTGGTCAGCTTCTACCACACTACTCACAAAAATACCTGGTTGTATTATACGGAGGCCCATTTATTCTGTGGGAGTATATTTTTATGGATCGTCTGCTGTTTGTCATTTGCAGGTGGGACATAGTGAAGGAATGCAAAACTAAACTCATTGCTATCACATTTTTAACTCGTATACATCTTCCAGATGTAAATTCAACATATAAGCAAGGCAAAGAAAGTTTATTTATATCACACATTTTCATACACAATGGCAATTAAAATCACTTAGCACTATGCATACAAATAGATAAAACATGCATGTACTGATAAAACATTTGAATGTGAATTAGAATAAAACATTAAATGCAAATTAAAAGCAACGATTACATGACAGCACAAAGTAGCAACAATATACTGTAGGGACAACACATACAAGTTGGACAGACTGCTGTTTCCTGTTCCTGCGGTAACCGTACCCACTTCCTGTTTTCTCTGCCTGTACTGTGTTGTGTTGTGCTTGTCCTTCCACAGTGTTTAGGGATTAAGCTCACTGTTTTCTAGGTCTATCTGAAACTTTTTGAGTGATGGCACATGCCTGCCCTACTTAGCACCTGTGTTACAGAAATTCTTGCTAACTATCAAATTTAACTCGCTACTTTAGGTCGGCTAGCTTAGAAGCTAGCTAAGCAATAGCTTCCCCCTCTTCCTCTCCTTCTTTCTCTTTTTCTCTTGCTCGGAGTGTCACGTTCAGTTATTCTTCTGCCTCCTTTAGCGATAATGGTACTTGTAATAAATGCCAGATGCTAGCAGCATTGGAGGCGAGGTTCACCGTTTTGGAAGCACGGCCCCGCACCATGTAAAACAGCCCATGCAGCTGGTGCTGGGCCTCCTAGACGTAGCTTAGCCCAAGCTAGCCGCCCCCCAGAGCTTCCCGAGCAGCCGGGATCTCAGCCAGGTGGCTGGGCGACATTTCGCAAGTCATAGCTCGAAACAAATACCAAGGGTGCATCACCTGCCAGTTCACGTTTCAAATCAATTTTCCCCACTCAGCGATACACCCGCTGAGAAGACAGCTCTGGTAATTGGTGACTCCGTGGTTAGAAACGTGAAGCTAGAGACACCGGCGGCCATAGTCAAATGTTTTCCTGGGGCCAGAGCAGGCGAC